CCCCTTGGTGCTTCTTGGCACAAATGGCCCCACCGACTTCAGTGGGACCGGGGGGAGGCTGAGGGCTGCTGCTCGTGGAGGTAGCAGTTTGCAGAGCAGGGTAGCACACGGTGACAGCTCGGTCTTGCTTCCGCAGTGCGGGAGAGCAAGGGAAAAAAAAAAAAGGCATTTCTGATGAAATAGTTGAAGCAGTGGGGATTTACTGAACCAGTGTTACACTGTGCATGCAGCTTTCTCAGTTTGCTGTTGCTAGCAATTCAGATATTGTCCAAGCTGTCCTGCTCATCAGTGCATGAACTCTGAAAACACTTAGCCACTACCAGCTCTGTGCATTATTTCAGCTGGAAGAACCATGGTAGGTAAAGTAACGATGATGGATCTAAACGATAATAAAGTCTCCCTGTTGAAAATTTAAAGTGCTATACAACTATTTTTAGTGACCTCTCCAGCTGAGATAATGCAGAAAGCTAACTAGATGTGAACATCCATCTTAGGTGAATTGATTCTTACAGTTTGCAAACCAAGGTGAATTGTAGGAGGTTAATGTTCATGCTCCAATACAAGAGATATCAGCTATATAAAAAGATGTATACTGTACATGTAAAGAAATAACCTATTAAATGTCTAATGTGGATGCAATGTTTTTTTTTTTCCTTTGAGCACGTTTATTTCTGTAATGGACATTTAAGAGCTCCCTTCCCCATAGCCTCCTCCCTCTCCTCCCTCCGTGTGTGTATATGTGAGCAATGTGTGGGCACGAGAGAGGGTGAGAAGGCTTCTGTCCATGATTCAGGAAAGTGACGGTTGCCTGGACAGGGTGTTTTGACACCCCGTTGAGACAAAGTATTTAAATTTGGGTTTCCAAAATAAAAGACATTAAAAAAATGTTTTTAAATGGATTTTTTCTCCCTTCAAGCATGCCTCAAATCTGAGTTCTTGGGTCAGCATTTTCAAACTCAGGACTTTAAAATGAAGCAACTATTTTTTGTGGCTTCCTAAATAAAATCTCTGAGTACTGGTAGCTCTCGCTCTGCAAGGAGTTGCAGAGCACTGTGTGCCTTTGCAAAATGTGGCACATATTCCAGGACTGCTACAGCAAATTCTTTACTTCTCAGAGCTCATTTATCCCAGGAGGGCTCCACATCCAGCAATGCAGCCTGCTCACCCTCCTGCCCAAACCCTCAGATGGCAATTAGCAACATCAATAAGTAAAAGAACAAATACTTGTCTCTAAAAAACCAGCCATAGACAGAGCAGCTCATTCACTTTACTCTGAGGCTGCATTACAAACCTTAATTTTTTATATTTCATCTGTTTAAAGCCCCAGTCCTACAAACACTTAGTTTTGAGATGACACTTGAAAATCGATGGGCGATGAAGGATGGGTGAAAGGCAAGACCTAATGCTGCAGGGGCCCAGGGTGAAGAAGCATATCTGTCAAGTCCCGTGTACACCATGGATGCCACCATACAGAAGATTTTTAACTGCGTTCCTGTGGCTCAGCCCTTTAGCGAAGAGCTTTTGGAACAGAGAAATGAGTCTGCTGACCCCTCAGCTCCTGGAGACAGTGAGTTTCCAGCAGAAGCAAAGCCAAAAGAAAATGGCAGAGACCAGCTAAAATACTGTAACAGGAGTGTTTATTAGCATTGCATAGTAATAAAATGAAATATTACCAGGAAAAAGAGCTTAAAAAAGTTCGAACCAGGTGAGCAGATCTGCCAAAGAGCCACGAACTACATGCTCGCAAGTACTGATGTGACTTTGGTATTGCTTGAAGAGCCATCCCCTGCAGGAGACATCCCACTGCTGAAGCCCCAAAGTACGTCTGACCCACAGGTGACCCGCCAAACAAGTCTGCTGGGAAATATTCCAGCAGTTTAAGCTTAACAACCAAATTGGTTAGCGTTGCTCCTTCAGCACTTGGGGATGTCAAGGGATAAAAAGGATCACAGGTTGAGTGGGAACAATACTCACAGAAACTCGGCTTTGGCCTCAGGAGTCTCATCTACCTCTGTGGTCAATAGGCAGAGACAAGCTTTCGCAGACGGTGAACTTGATTAGCGAGCTGATCTTGGTTAAAACTGCCCAGATCTTCTTGCTGCTAAGGATGGAGGGGGAGGAAGGTGGGACCGTCTCTCCGGGCAACAGAGCCAGATTGACGGTGCTGGATTACTGCGCTAGCGTAACCAGAGTGGGATTAGGTGCTCCGAGTCACCTATGTGAGGACTTCTCTCCCCCTCTGACCATCCTGGCAGCCTGCAGAGATCAACCTCCTTCATGTCAGCTTTGGGGACATCCATCCCCACTGCAGCTCCAGGTACCAGCTGCTGAGCTGCACAGGAGCAAGTGCATGAGACAGTGATCCAAACCAAGGTAATTTTGAAGAGCAACCCATAGAACCTTCCAATTGACTTGAAAAACAACCTGGTCTGAAGAGTGTTTCAAATATAAATGTCCTGACAAAGTTGTTTACAAGAAGGCTTTTTTTCCAGCTTATAGACACAGCAATTTGCTCCTTGAAGAACAGTTGCATGTCCTAGTGTTTCTTTGAAGTGCCTGAAAAACACTGGACTTGCGTGTCCCTGCGTGTGGCTGGCTTCACTGTACATTTAATGGGGAATTCGCCTACAATATGATGTTCCAGAAGAAGAGCTGTCATTCTGACCCAGCTACCTTGGTATTACAACTACGTGGTATGAAAGCTTTTCAAGAATTGCTTCTGAAGAAGGATGTGTATTTCAGTAGGTGAAATTTCGAGGAATGGGTGTCTTTGTTCTTAATGGAGCCACTAATGGATATTGAAAGAAGATTCAACACAGCAAAAGTCATGAAAAAAATCATGTCCTGCTCTCCCATTGTAGAGCTCTCCATTGAAATCAATGGGTCTTGAAAAAGAGAAGGTAGCACTAGAATAAAACTCCTCACTTGTTCTAGTGAAGCCCCAAATAGTGTGTCATTGTGGGTTACTATGGAGTTATTGAATAAAGGCTGAGAAGCTTGTTCTGCTGATCAATACCTGTGTGTGCAGATGTGGATGCAGATGCAGATCTCGGCAGTATCTCCTGGAGGCTCCTCTCCGAAACCTGCATTCAGCTCATGCGAAGTTTTCAAAGGGATTGAACTTCTGAGACTAGAGCAAATAAGGCGTGGGTGCTCAGGACGAATGGATGCTCCCTTTCTGCTCCTACCACTAGATTATGATAACCTCTCCTTTCGCATCTTTGCTTTATATCAATATAACAAATAACCAGGGTGAAAAAAAAAAAGTATCAGGAGGAACAGCTTTAAATGGAAATAAAGAGATGTGTCTAAATCCCTTAGGCTGTTTGGGATGTCTGAAGTGATTTAGTCCAGCTGTATCTGTACATTAAAACGTATGAGGGCACCGAGGTTCATCACTTATCCAATTAAAACGTTAGAAGAGTCCCTGGCACAGGTTGCCTCAGACCAGGCCATGTTGTCCCACACGGTCGCCAGGGAGCGGCTCAATAGCTAGCATGGGCTGCAGAGCCTTTCCCACCAGCAGTGTGGATGCAGCCACCCTGCTTTGGAGGGTAAGAGGGCTGAAGAGCATGGAGCAAGCCCCCTGCCCACGGGCAGCAGTGCCAGGACATGTCATTTAATAGCACAGATGTGGCAAAGTGGCTGCCTGCTCCATCACAGGTCTCTGCTGTGATGATAGAGAGCTAAAAACCTGCCAGATGTTTTCCAGGCAGGAGTCTGTGCTGGATGAAGACATCTTGGGGGAGAGAGACCACCCCATGAGGTTGGTCTCCATGTAGACACCCTCCCAACAAGCTGAAAATCCAGATTTGGGGGATAGCAAGCTCCCAGTTTTGTCTGGCACCACCTCTATCTTTATTCAGCTTGGAATAGGCACAGTGGGGAGGGAGCCCTGGGGGTCCCACCAAACCCCTCCTTGGGCATTGCTGGATAGGAGACACTTTTCCCTCAGCCAAAAGTGGGGAGGGTACAGATCCCATCCCACCCATGCCATGTGCACAGGGGAAGGCCACAGAGGTGGCTTTAACTCAGCGCTATCTTGCAATCCCAAGATGCAAGAAAAGCCCCTTGGGACTTTATATGGTGTGAGAAGAGGCTGCGGGGAAAGAGCACTAGGCAATTGGCACCATTTTTAGGCTTTCTGGTGGGGAGGGCTGATGCCCCGGGGCTGACTCCAGTGGGATGGGGTGGCACCAGATACTGCTCTGCTAAGGGTGGGAGACAGCTAATGAAGTGTGTAGGGTTGTGGGGCCATGGTGCTTCTCCCCCACCTCTGGGAAAGGCCAGAGGGGACAAATATGTGAAACCACTTTGCTTTTATAAGGTTCAAAGTTGGGAACTTTCCTCCAAACCATATTTCTGGCAGGGAAGGTGTGTGCCAGAGAGGTCCGTGTTGCAGATCAGAAGGTGACAGGGTTAAAATGGGCTCTCCAGGGGATTTCTGCATTTTTGGGGAGGCTTAGACTGAATGTAGCAAGTGATGAAGGGAGGGGAGCTCTTTCCCAGCCTTTTGCCAGGGGTCTTGCAGCCTGCCCTGAAACAGAAGGGAACAGAAATCCAAGGGCTTTATCCGTCACCCTGCTGCCAAGAATAAATGCCGATAGAGTGCAAAGTGCTGTATCCCTTGGGGGATCTAAGATGACATGTTCCTTCCCTTGATTCCCAGCTAGGTCTCGCCCTCCAGGCCCCCCTCGGGGGGGGGCACACCAAGGTCAGCCCAGGGTTCGGGCTCTTTTGTGGGTGCTGGGGCTGTGGGTTGGCCTTGGGGAGGGGACAGGGGAGAGGACAGGACAAAGTTTGGCAGCTTCTGCACCCCACAGCGCCCTTTCCCTTTGGCCTCCCACACCCCCACCCTCCCTTCCACCAAATACATTTGATTCTTCTGGAAAAGAAAGAAATAACGTGAATATAAAAAAGCCAGTGCCCAGCGTTTCTGAGCGGCAGGTACAGACATCGCTGGGGAGTATTACGCTCTCTCTCACGGTATTACCCCTGCATCAGCCAGGGGTAACTGGATCTGTGATAGAGTCTGATCCTCCCAAGCCTTTAATTGGATGCGTGAAAAGTCCAAAATGCAGTAGCTCACGCTTGCCCCAGCTATGAGATGCACCGGCTTCTTGACACACAAGGGCGCTTCCCAATGAACCCAGCCTCCTTTCTAACCTCTGCTACCAGCCAGCTCCCGGGCCGGGAAGCCAAAGCAGACCCTGTGTAAGGCAGCCCTCCCAGCCAAGCGGGGTGCTGCTGGCTCTGAAATGCTCAGTAGCTTTCCAGGCACCCACCCTTTTTCTGTTCTGCAAAGAAAATGCTGTAGTTAGACGAGGGGCAAAAGGCGGTGGCAGAACAATTAGGGACCAGTCGCTCCCTTCTGTGGGATTGGGCGGCGGGATGAGGCCGGGATGAGCGCTCTGCAAGGCTCGTGCAAACTGGAGCGTGAAGATCTGCGTGCGGGGAGCACCCGCCTGCGCCAGGCAGCAGCTGGGGCAGCGCTCCTGGCCTGGAAAGGCCGGTGTGGCTTTTCCAAGGCTCCTGCATCCCCCAGCCCTCCCTCCATGCTGGTTTCCACCGCAAACAGCAGCAGCCTTCCCCTGCAGCACCAGGGCTGGGACAATGCGCCCCGGATAAGTGGGCCTTCTGTCCCCAGCTGCACCGGGGCCAGGCTCTCCCCAACCTGCAAGCCTTTTACTTTCCTTTTTTTCTTTTTTTTTTTTTTTTTGGTCTTGCAAAATCAATTTGCGGACAGCTCACTCATTTTTCCCCCTTGCAAACTTATTAGCTATTCAGCCCCGGCAAGCATTCGTAAGCATCCTTTGTCCCAGGGAGGGCTGGAGACCCCTTCATTAGCAGTGATTACTCTGAGCAGTTTGACAGCCTCCCAGCCCGCTTACAAGACTTTCCCATTCAGCCCTGCCCGGGGCTGCCCCGCTTCTCAAAAGAAACGGAAATATTCAAACATTTCTCCCCCCCCCTCCCCATCTGAATAGAGGAAAAGCTGTTTCTCTTCTCCGCCCTCCCCATTCACTTCACTTTTGATACAATATTTTCCTTCTTTGTCAAATCGGAGAGAGAGGGGTCAAGGCAGACTTTTTAGCGACCCTTTTCTGAGTGTTTTGTTTAATGTAAATACAAGCTCCCCCTTCTCCCTTCTCCTCCGATTAATATTATTATTGTTGTTGTTGTTATTATTATTGTTACTATTATTAAAGACGAAGGCTCGAGAGGGTGACGGCTTGAGCTGATCTTTAGGAAAAAAATTAATGCTGCAAATGCCAGG